CACTACTGTTCAATTCAGATACTCATTCATGAATCCGGATCCTCTTTCTGAGGATCCTGAAGATTCGTCAATCTTGTTTGTTTATCGTACATGATGTGATAAAAAATTATTTTAAATATTTTTATTTAAAATTAAACAAAAATAATACTTAATAAAAATTGATCGCACGATGTATAATAAACGAACACGATTTATAGATCTTCGAGATCCTCACCAAAAGGATCCGGAAAGGATTATGTTGGCTCATTCATGTCTTTAAACCCATTCCTTGCATGCTTCTAGGAGAAATTACAAATATTTAATTTAATTTAACACTATAGGGTTTTAAAAAGGACTAATTAAACTAGTTTGCATGCACTGCATGGTGCTTGGCAGCTTGCTCCCGTTCTATAATACAGTTAAGAGAAATTCGGGGACCAATAACGATAATGAAAACAATGGGGAATGAGCTGTTCTTCATGTAATTAAAATCATCAAGACCCAAGGAAAGCAAAACTTTTCTCACTTCTGACATGCGTCTTTACACTGTCTAATTCACTTTTTAATTTAAACCCCAGCTAACTAATTAGCTATTGATATTCTCACAGCAAGTCATAATTAGGGTTTCAATGCGCAATATAATATGTGATTTAGCTCCCATTTAATTACAATTTTTTGAAGAAAAAACGAAGAAAAAAGTTTAAGAATCAAAGCTAGGGAACAATTGGTGTCGGGAAGGTAAAGAGGCTGCCATGTTATACACTAACACAAAAGTGATTGTGTTTGCTTTCTTGAGCAGCTTTGCCTGTAAAGTGACACTTGTGCAGGACCTTTGTAGACCCATTGCTTTGCACTTTGAGGGAGAAAAAAACCGCACATTTTGTTGTAAAAGTTGAGTTTAAACTCAAAAGCAAAGACAGCATGAACGAATCATAAAGCAGATCGACAAAAAAACTTTCTCCTTCTTTTACAGACGCACAGAAGATATAAGAAGAAGAGAGAGAGAGAGAGAGCCCCCAATTCCACTTATTTGCCAAACTTTTGTTGAAAAGAGCAATTACAGCTTAAAAACGACCTCATATCGATTATTTTATTAATTATATCATTATCACTTTTTTTGGTGCTTAAAATCGCACTAATTAATCTTTCTCATAATTTAATCCCAACTAATCATATTGAAGGAGTGAGGAGAGGAATGACCAAATTGGTAAACCAAATGTCATTGCCATTCTTAATCTCATGGAGGATTTTAGATTTCTTTTTCCTTTTCGTAAAGTGCGATTAAGTGTTAACAGAAAAGTAAAATGGATTTTTACACAATAATGTTTAAGAATGTTAACTACATTGAAATATTTGAGAATGATAGAGAAACTGAGGAAGAAGGAGTAAAAGAGAAAAAATTGAACTAGAGAGTTTAGAGAGAGAAATATGAGACTTGTATTTAAGTTATATAATGATTATACAACTCTGTTTTTATAATAGAAATCCTAACAACTCTAATTGATGACTTGTAGAATCATTTTAACTAATCATCTAACTAATTGTTTGGAACCCTTAATAAAGAAAATAGTATATGTTCATATTTTATTTATTTTTATTCAGAATGTTAATAGAATCACAATGCGAGCAGATGAATTTAGTATTTGATGCATGATCGTTGAGAGTTAGAGGAAAAAGATTATGAAGGTGCATGCTTTCGATCAGAAGAAATAGTTATCAATTTGTGCGGGTTGCATGTTCATCCATTATTTCAAGAAAATTTTAACAAAAAACTTATAGTACTGTTCACTTTAAAGAAAAATCACATTTTTACGCTAAAAAGTCAATTCTGGTACTATTTACTTTACCTTTTATTTTATCATTTTAGCTAAAACTCAAAGTTTTTGTTTTGTAGTTTTCAGTTGCTTGATAATTTATATTCATTATAAAATATTGGCGATTATATTTATAAATTGGGCTTTATTTCTAATGTGTTAAGATAATGGGTCATAGTTAACTCATTATTATAAAATTAATGGGGTCCTAAGCATGCATATTTATCTACGTAGAGTCCAAATTGGATGCTGATTAAAACAGTTGGCCATTAAAATTATTAGTACACAAGTTGGTTGGTGTTGGTCTTTGGACCGGACTCGTGTTGCAATCTCAAGTCTGAAGGTCATTAGGCACTGTCAACTCACCTCTTCTTGTCGACAGATTAAACAAGGATTAATTCATTAAGCTAAATTATTTAATGATAATTGTACAACCAAACTTCTCACATCTAATCCAGTTGGCTTTGGCTACCCGACAGAGACAAGGCTTTAATGTCAAGACTCAATCTTGTGAACAGAAAAAGGCAAGTGTTGATATGGATTTAACAGTTGGAATAATTTGGAAGTATTTTCCTCGTTTACAACATTGATCTGACAAATGGTCATCAAATTCAAATCTAGGTCAAATTTCATTTACAAGTTCTTTAATTTGTATAGAAATGTTATACAACCAAGCAAGCAAGCTAGCTAGGTCCAACTATTCACACCAAGAAAGAAAATATATGCATGCGTCCCCAGTTCATGTGGGCTTGTTTATTGGAAAAAAATGAGATTACATGCACGACTTAACTTTTATACTGTCAATGTCGTTCTCAACAAAACCCCAATTTCCTAACACATACAGAAAAATGATTTTTAAGTACCATTTTTCTTTCATGTATATCATGTTAATTTATATGTTTTTTTTAGTTATTTGCTATTTAATTCAAAATTTAGAAATAGAGAAAGGTATCAAGGTAGAAAATGAGGGTGTGAGAGAGATTTCCCTTTACATATTGGACCTTGACCCACACGTTACTTCCAACACCCTTCTTTCTACGTGCTCGGATTAACCTATATTTTCACCATTGACCTAGTTTAATTATTTTAAAAAGTAAAAAAACAAAGATCAAGGTTAACACACTACAATATATGAAGAGTAATGCTAGATAGATCAATTTTTTTTACCACATTTACAAGCATATGAGTTGTCCGAAATATAAAATAAGCACATTAATCAATACTTAAGTAATATTAATTCAATCATCAACAAACATGTTATATGATTTACATAATATAGTTTAAATGGATAATCTTTTAGCATTATCCGTATATTAATCCTAATTATCCCTTACTTCATGTCTGTGGTGGAAGACAAGTGAATTAGACAAGCTACTATTAGGTGGTCCAACAAGTGTCCACATGTATGAAAGCTTAAAATAGAGAGAGGATCCTAGCCGGATCCTCTTTGTGAGGATCGGGGGATTCTCCAATCATATCCGTTCATCGTACATCGTGTAATCAGTTTTTATCAAGTACTGTTTATATTCAATTTTAAATAAAAAATTTACAATGATTTATGACCACATGATGTACGATGAACGATTGTGACTTGAAAATCCCTATAATCCTCACAAAGAAAATCTAGCGAGAATCCTCACTCCTTAAAATATGCACTCACTAATTGGATAATCATTTTCATTCCTAGACATGGTGGTGGAAGAGTGGTCAATTTGAAGAGAGCCCTCCTAAATAATGAGTTCTTTAACCAACAAATGTTTTACAACGTAACTATTACCTTTCTTAATTTGTTTGTTTTTTTACTCACTCACATAAACAACAGAATTTTTAGGCCTTTTAATGTATTCTCCATGGAGGTTTTTAGGTTGTTATTGGTGTAACTTGAACCTATATATCTTAATTTTAGCATATTTGGGATTTGCCAAATTGACTAGAATAGTATGCTCCTCTGCTCTATATTCAAGTTTGAAACTCTCTTCACATAATTAACATTGGATTAGTATGAGATTAGAGAGAGAGAGAGAGAGAGAGAGAGAGAGAGAGAGAGAGAGAGAGAGAGAGAGAGAGAGAGGGATACTATGAATTGATCTTGGCCAGGTTTTCAAGTTGATGACTTATATATCTGCAATGGTGAGCTTTTTGCAGATATCATGTTTTCAACTAAAGTTTGAGTCTCCCTTCACATAAGTTGCTTTTTAGTTTAGAATATTGCTAGTATAAAATATAAAAACAATGATAAAAGGAGGTGGATTGTCTGCCATTCTATTTCCATACTCTTCTCATCCTCTCCTGTTTTGTGTGTTCACGGTTAAGTCACGTCAACATTTTATATTCCTATTACTTTTTGTATTTTTATAAAAAAATCAATATAAAATGTTGACGTGGCTTAACCGTGACCACACAAACATGAGGGGATAAGAAGAGTATGAAAATGAGAGGGCAGACAATTCACCTCCATGATAAAAACCTATAAAATCTTGGTACGAGACATTGAGAATCCTCTTTTTATCAACAAGCTGGGTGACTTGACTGAACTGTGGCCACATCAATTAAAATTGTTTAGGTTATAATCAACTAAGTCTGATTCGTATCAAAACTTGACCAGTCTAAGGAAAATCCAAAAGTGGGTGCCAAAAATACCAACTTGAGGAATTGACATCGATCTATCATCACTTAAAAAGACTGACTAATTTCCAAACGCCCACTTGATGTTTTATGAATGTTTTTAGTTTGGAAAGTACCATAATTAATTAAGTCCATAAATAGTCGTTTGTAACCTAACCTTAGATTCTGCGATTTTATTTAGGACTTAAAAGTTAATATTGATTAATTTAATTAATTAAACATCTGGTTGTGTTGTGTTGTGTAGTGTTGGTTCGATGAGGATTGAGAGGGAGTGAGGGAGGGAGGCTTTCGTAAAAGACTAAAGAAACCCTAGCAGCTAAAAAGAAAGAAAGGGAAGGGAGAGAGAATCTTCAAATCTTTATTGGTTGCTGCATTAAGCTGAATGAACATCGTCGCAGTGGTGCTGCACCCACGTGAATGTTCCCTCGCTCGTGTCCCCACAAAGATCCTCCGTATCCACGTGTGGGCCCAATCATCCCCTCATCCCTTCCCTTCCCTTCTTCCTCCTCAAAGCAGGGCCTCTGGGCAATGCAGTGGGTAATGCATCGTAATATGGTCATGGGTCATGAGAGGGAAAAAATAGAACTCTTCCGTGCACGTGTCTCTCAACCCTTCCACGTGAACAGCCACATGTCCTCGACCCCACACCGGGCCCATTCTCTCAAAAGAGTCCCTTGTCCTTTAAATTGAGGACCTGCATGTTATATCCTAGGCGCAAAAGAGAGAGGCGCACAGAGTCAGAATCTCAGAATCTCTGGATGATTTGTTGTTTGTTGCCTCGGAAAATTGTAGAGTGAGAGAGAAAATATTTACAGATATACATATATTCCTCGTTACCTTATCTGCTAAAATATTATATAGTATATCTAGATAGATATTATTCACACAGTACATGTATGTATGTGAGTGTACCTGCAGTCTTGTAACGTGAAGAAATCTTGTTCTGGAAAAGAAAGAAAGAAAGAGGAGCTGAGCGAATCTGTGCATGTTGCGTACGAAATCTTTAAAGCGAAATCAGCCTTACGTTATCTCCACGACCACACATCCCTCCCTCCCTCTGACACAAAGATTTTGTTCCTTCTCATGTTTCTCTTATTTATTTCGTTAATTCCTTCCTCTCACGGTCTCACTCACTATAGTCTATATATAGCTAGACTATAGCTGGATACCACCACCGCCACCTACTTCTCTCCGCCGTTGTCCACAGTTCTCAAATCCTTCATCCTTCTAGCCGCCGCCTCCTCCTCCTCCTCCAGTATGTAATCCTATACCTAATTCATCATTTTAAACCAAACAAAGAAAATCAAGATCAAGAACAAGAACAAGAATAGTAACGTACTTGAACACATGGCAACTACCAAGCTTGTTTTAATTACATTCGCAATCTGTCGACTTATTCTCACGGTTGGTTTAACCGTGGATCCAACGGAGCTTCTCCGCCTCGTCGTCGACGGACAGCTCAGTGTAGACCCATCTGACGTGGATACCGCTTCGAAAGATTTCGGCCTGATGAGCAGAGCGGCGCCCTTGGCCGTTTTACACCCTGCCTCCGCCCAAGACGTGGCGGGACTGGTGCGGGCAGCCTACTCTTCGCCGCACGGGTTCACGGTCTCGGCCAGAGGCCACGGGCACTCCATCAACGGGCAGGCGCAGACCAACAACGGTGTCGTGATTCAGATGAGCGGGGGATCGTTGAGATCGGGGAGGCCGGCTCAGGCGGCTCGAGTATCGGAGAAGGGGATGTATGTTGATACGTGGGGTGGGGAGTTGTGGATAGATGTGCTCAGGAGCACGCTGGAGTATGGACTCGCACCGAAGTCGTGGACTGATTATTTGTACTTAACAGTCGGAGGAACCCTTTCCAACGCCGGAATCAGCGGCCAAGCTTTCAATTATGGACCTCAGATTAGTAATGTTCATGAGCTCGACGTTGTTACAGGTTCGGGGTACATATTTCACTCATTTCTGTTGTTTTATTTATTTTCTTGGTGTGTTTAATTTCCCATCTTATTACCAATATTCACTATTAAGGTTTATTAGTAGAATAATGTTATTTCTACCACATTTATTGATTCTAAAGTAGGTTGATCTATCTGTATATATGAAACTCGACTGCCTCGTATTAGAAAAATTGTTAACAATAAATGTGGTTAAAATATCATTGGTGGTTCGTCTTAGTATAATTTGTTTATATGAACAGTTGAGCAGAACATTGTTTTAGTAAAATATAGGTATGCTCAATATTTATTAATAATTCTTATTCATTTTCCTAATTGGTGTTTGCAGATTTTATTGGATTCTAAGATTTGCCCATTTTATACTTTTAGTCACCTTCTTATGTCATGAAGGATGTTTTCAGTTGCAGTTTAAACTGTACACATGACCATATGAATATCTCTTTAACATGGTTGTTTTTATATTGTTTCATCAGCATCACGCAGAAATTGTAGTATTTTAATTTATTCATTAATTAGTTTCATCGAAGAGATTATATATATCACTATTTCATCAAATCTTTGTTTTACTAATTATTTAAGGCTCGAAATAGCCACAATGGTAGTTTAATTAGTTATAAGTTAATATTCTTGTATAGCATAGTAATTAATTATATTATATAATTATAGGTTGTTGTCGTTGCTGCCAATTAAACTGATTGTCTTATATGATCTCATCATGCATAATCAACATATGGTAAATCATCGAGTACATATACAATTGATGTATTGAAGTGACCTAATTCTTGTTTAACAACAGGCAAAGGCCAGCTATTGACATGTTCCGAAGAGCAAAACTCAGAGCTGTTCCAGGCTGTTCTTGGTGGGCTAGGCCAGTTTGGAATCATCACTAGGGCTAGAATTGCTCTCGAACCATCCCCCAAAAGGGTATACCTCTCTCTTTCATATCAAGTCGGTGATATTTAGACACCATGTATTAAAGAGTTTTATGTGTTTAAATAGCATTAGTTGTTTCCGGTTATAGATTTGAAAGTTTTGATCGATTCTACAAAATGAGAGTGGAGGAAAGACTTGCATTAATAATTGTTATTAAATATATTAGTTTTGAGCGTCTAAATAACATTACTCTGGAGGTTTTGGTTGGTAACATCTTCCAAAGTGGGAGTGGGGCACATGCGTACTTTTGCAAAACTTTCCTAGTATTTGTTAATTAGTGACAAACCCTAAAAAGCCAGCAAGGTATCATGCATGACCTAATTAAGGTTTATAAGGGGATGGATGATGGGTCCGTGAATAGCTGGCAATGTTGTTGACGTGTGACGTGGTCTCTTTTCTAAATCTTTTTGTTGCAGCTTTATTAAAAAAAATTGTTTTTATTGTCGTTGTTGTCAATAGGTGAGGTGGATCCGAGTACTGTATTCCAATTTTTCGGCTTTTACCAAAGACCAGGAATTCCTCATCTCTCTGCATGGGCAACCTTCCAGCCAGAAATTCGACTATGTCGAGGGTTTCGTTATTGTCGACGAAGGCCTCATCAACAATTGGAGGTCATCTTTCTTCTCCGCTAGCAACCCTGTTAAAATCACCTCCATTGATTCTGAAGGTGGTGTTTTATATTGCTTGGAGATTACGAAAAATTACGACGAATCGACTGCCGATACAATTGACAAGGTATAATTATACTCGCTCGCATTTACACTCTAATATAGTTTTATTAGGCGGTTGGTGATGTATTAGTCTTGGGTATTAAAAATTTGTAAGTCTACTACAAGCTACCAGTAACAGTTGAAATAGAGAGACAAAGAAAAGAAAAATACTATAGAATACGTAACTTAAGAGTGTCGTAAAATATAACAAATATGAAATATTTAAAAAGTAATGAGTGAGGACATGGTGTCGTGCAAGGAGTGTGTAATGCTAGAGAGATTTTTAGTGTGCGGAAATACGGCTTAGTACTTCAAATGTCATAATACAAGTGGTTGAATACTTAAAAAAACAAAATTTTAAATCATTTGTATTATGATATATAATATATAAGACCGTATTTCTAACATATTGAAAAATTTCTCATAGTGCTAAAGCAACACCAACTTCTAGAAAATATACATTAGAATAAACAGTAAGAGTGCTAATTGGCACCCTCAGGCTTTTGAGACTAATTTAAAATCGTTTTAGTGATTGTTTAAAGTGCTTTCTTAGCTTCCAACCATATCATAATGTATTAAAATTTAAAACCGATTAGAGCTATGCTTTGCTAGATTCATTAATTTAGAAGGATGTCCCACTAAACCCTAGATTATACGATTGAGATGATTAGAGTCTTAGAGTATATAATAATTAGAGGTACTATGTATACAAGACATTAGCAAGAAAACATGGAAGATCTGTGATCTATTATCCTATTCGAACCTAAGATCGAATAAACATTTTTTTCTTTCTAATTGTTACTAATTATATATTTACTAAATCTAAGCCGCCCACCCACCAAATTATTCCTCTTAATTTGAAATTTAAACAGAATAATGAAACTTATCCTGACAAAAGTAGCTTTCTTTTAAACATACTGTGATTGTAATTGTTTTAAATACGGGTAATACTAGGTAAATCAAATGATGTGGTTGTAGATAATGGGATTATTAATTAAATGTCGATTAATGTGTTTGTTTCTTATTGGTGACACATCATTTAGTTTTTAATTTATTTTAAAATTTTTGATATTCCTAGCATTATCCTTTAAATAATACGCGCATTTAAAACAACAAATAATTAAAAACTGTGCGTTGGGAATTTGTTTCTCTCGCAGGAAATAGAGGATTTGTTGGAAAAACTGGATTTTGTACCGACGTCAGTCTTCACAACTGATCTTCCATACGTGGATTTTCTGGACCGCGTTCACAAGGCCGAGTTGAAGCTCCGAGCCAAGGGTTTGTGGGACGTCCCCCATCCATGGCTTAACCTTTTTGTCCCCAAATCAAGGATTTCTGACTTCAACGAAGGAGTGTTCAAGGGCATTTTGGGAAATAAGACAAGCGGACCCATTCTGATTTACCCCATGAACAAAGACAAGTGAGTTCCACAGCCTCATGCGCATATATATATATATATATATATATATATATATGTTTTCTCTGCATGCATGCATATGCCTGCAAATATAACGACATAGCTGTTGCATGCAGCATGCAGCATGCAACATGCCACCACTGTGTTCATGTGCACTATAGTTAATAGAAAAATACATGCTTTTAAGACCTAATAATCATCTTCCTTAACAAAAGTAAAGTGTGAATCTAGGTTATTGCATTTGTTGAGCCTAGCTCTAAACACTCTGGTAATTATACTATAAACTATATAGGCAAATAGAATCTCTTGTGACAGAAGCTGCGTACATCCTCAATAATTGAGAAGGAATGACTGGCGATTCAGTAGATGATCCCATAATCTTGAGGATAAAATCCTCAATATTATAAAGGGTATTAGCGTTGGTACTTAGGTAGGTTGGTAGAGATGCCATTGTTCATGTGGAGAAACTTTTAGGTAGGACAATCTGGCTGGTTCGTCGTGTACTTCTCAAAAGGAACATGTCCCGTTGTATTTGGATAATATTTGCCTTACGTAAGTAATACTACCAATGCATACCGTCACACTATTGTGAGAGTAACGTGACTAACTAGTTAATCGCGGGTTGCTCTACTGACTCTTTTCTCGCACAAGATTTGAATAGTATAGCACTTAACGGAAAAGGATCCTCGTTGGATCCTTTTTCTGAGGATCTTATGATCATGATCGTTCATCGTAAATTGTACGGTCGGTCAGAAATCATTTTAGAATTTAAAATTTAAAATTAAATATAAATAGTACCTAACGAAAACTGACCGTAAAATGAACGGTCACAATCTGACAAGGATCCTTTTCCGCACTTAACCTCCATGGCTTTTCTCTTGAGTTGAGTGTAATTTGGACATGACAGCGTATATAATTACCTATAGTTGGACTTGGTCCAGGATCCACACGTACAAACACAGTGGTGGGTTTTTTGGCTTCAAGTAGAAACAGCCAATGAAGTCGACGGGATCGTCCAAACGTAAGGATTCTTATGTCAGTAGATCCACTGGTGGGATGTCACTCATGTCGTTTCGCGAGCTTAGTTCCAGAAACATTGCCGTTAGCTATCACAGTACAATATTATTATTATCACAGCCTTCAATTCCAAAAACATGTTTTGCTCATTGTCGTTTGTGTGGTTTTGATTCTGTGTAGGTGGGACCAGAGTAGCTCGGTGGTGACGCCCGACGAGGACATTTTTTACCTTGTGGCGCTGCTAAGAACTGCCTTGGATACCGGGGACGAGACCCACACCTTGGAGCACCTGACCAATCAGAACCGTCAGATCCTCAGATTCTGTGTTGATGCGGGGATCGAGGTGAAACAGTACCTCCCGCACTATACTACGCAGGAGGAGTGGATGGACCACTTTGGAGATAAGTGGGCCCGGTTTTACAAGAGGAAGATGGAGTTCGACCCTCGGCGCATTTTAGCCACCGGCCAACGTATTTTCAGCCCTTCATCGGTTTCTTCTAGTCTTGGTGTTGGTGGTGATAAATTGTCGATTTCTTAGATGACCAAAACGTGCAGTTTTTAGGGTTAGTCTTGTACATATACTGTTAGATGAACTCTTTTTTATTATCAAATGAGTACTGGTTATTATAAAGAAAACGAGGTTTTGTTTAGGGGTTTTTCAGTCTGAATGCTCAGATCACGTGACTGTTCAGGCTCCAGCCGAGGCCCAAGACTCATTGTGTGGAACTAGGATAGTGTTGATGGGGCCGGAATACAGTAGTGGAACGAGATACAATGTTTTTGTGCCTTTGGTTGTAGAGGTGAGGTGGCATGACCACCCGTATTCAAGAATTTCTCCTTTTTTAGGGTTTGTTCAGTGAGAGCGATGCACCCGAATGGGGCCCACGATCACAATGTTTTTGTATGCAGCGCCCGTGATCCGGACAGCCCAGTCTGGTTTTGTTCTGGGACTTGACGTCTTTATCCGCAACCTCATCCAACACAAGCTGGATTCTGATCATCACTCCATCATCCTTCATGGTTTGTCAATTACTGTTATACCCTTCTTCGATTGGTCGCTAGGTAGAAGTCGAACGCATGAACTACAGCTTTGTAATTTGACAAAATCAAACTTAATATAAATTAAATTTTAGTCCACCCTGAGCTCTTTGTTCTCTCAAATTTAGCCCCTGACAGACATACAAATTGGAGTAGATATGTGATGGCAGTACAAAAATATCAAAAGATAAATCTACTCGCGAAATACCCGGTCCGGCGGTCTGCCAATTACATCTAAGGTTTACTCATCTAGCTGTGGCTTGCATGGATCTGCATCACTCTGTGAACCCAGTTGCTTCCCGAATTTTTTCAAAGCGATTGAATATATTGTTTTCCTTCGCACTGATGTCCCCTCAGCCACTAATTTGACAGCCTACATGAACATAAAGAGTTGTCAAACCACTCAACGGTTCATAATAACAGAAGAAAAGACCATTCTTAATGATTTTGTTAAACCTCGCAAATGCATTTCGGTCACTAGTAAGTGATGCGCTGAGTAAAATGAATTTGCAACAAGTCATTAGAAATACAAACATATGTCAGAAAAAGTGGCGTTCGATATAATAAACAGAAGTCATTACCGTGGAAAGACTATGCCCGCTGGAGATCAAATCTCTTAACTCATCCTCAAGCTGAGACTCTGAAGGAGCTACAACCGGAGAATCTTCCCTTCCTTCAATTAATACTGTAATTTCACCTTTTGGCTGGTGAGTAGAGTACGCTTCTTCAGCTTCCCCCAATGTACCCCGCCAAAACTGATAAGATGTCAAATTTAGGGGCATGCCATTAAATAAGTCTGAGATCACAACATAGAATCAACATAGTAGCAATTCTATATGTGGAGGAAGAACATGCTAGCATTTGAAAAAATTAAAAAAATATCAACAGAACTAGCAATTTTATCAGTTTTTTTTTTTCTTTTGAGAAAGAAACAACAATGTTATCACATCAAATTAGTTACATTCATACAATGTGCGCAACTGATCTATTCAGTTATTCCCCAATGGGATCTGGGTTCCAAGAAGTTTGAATCACAACCCGAAGCACTAGCTAAGTTCCTGGATTGTGTGAAATAAGAGTTTTACCAGAGATAAATAAGAGACATCAAGAGACATCGCCACAAACCACCTACCTCTTCATGAATTTTTGTAATTTCACGAGCTATAACACATTTTCTGCAACACAATTATACAAAAAAGGTCATCATTTTGTACAACCACTCAACCAGTAAAAGCGCATAGATCCAACCATGGAATTTCAATTGGTGACTCATCATAACAAAAAACCAATAAAACAATTAGATCAAGTATTTACCTTGAATAACCAAAAAGTGAAGAAGTCTCTTCAAGAAACTGATGAAGCTTATGGGGAGGTACATAAAATATTTGAGTCGTTGCCTCATTTGCTGAAACCGTCAGCCTCTCTCTTCTAGATCCAGCATGTTTAGAGAGAAATCCAACTGCAGAAGTACAATCAGTATACAAAACTATATATCTTGATCCATCCAAGCCACATCCACCAAGAAGAATATCAGCAACATCAATTCCTTGAAAAACTTACCAAATGTAAACTCATCGGTGGACAGGCCAGAGGCAGAGAGAGCAGCCACAAATGCGGACGGCCCAGGTATAGGAATGACAGGGATGTTTTCATCCACGCATAGCTTTGCCTGCACCAAAACTTTGATATCAATTGCACTGCTACGTGATACATCTATAAGACTATATATAAATACCATATCTGCAATAATACACGCTACATTACTCCGAAGTCAAGTTGTTGCGAATAACAAAACAATTTACAAAATCAATTCAAGCTGATACATGATGAATTACTTGCTGTAAAAGCAAAGGAAACTAGAGAAAAGGGGTAGACCCTCACCAATTCCGTACCAGGATCACTGATGCCCGGCATCCCAGCATCGCTTATGAGCGCCACAATTTCACCTTCCTTCAACCGCTTCAACACTGTTTGCCCCCGTTGAGCTTCATTGAATTTGTGATAGCTCAGCTGTAATCTAAAAGCATAAATCAAAATGACTAAAACTAAAAACTAACCAACTCAGAATCCCAAAAATATAATAACCCCTATTCACTTACAAGGGGAGTTTTGATGCTATAATGGTGGAGCAACTTCCCCGAATGCCGAGTGTCTTCGGAAAGTATTACATGAGCTGATTTTAGCACCCGGAGAGCCCTGCATTGGCAAAATTCGGTCCGATATCAAATTAAAAAATGAAAAGAAAACAAATACATGGTTTGCAACTCTGTAATTTGTATGTAGAGATTGAGAAAGCACCGTAGAGTGATATCTTCGAGGTTTCCGATCGGAGTTCCGACCAAATACAGTCCGGGTTCAATAGGACCCTGCAACCGAAACAAACATTCAAAATACAATCTTCTGTTGAAAAACCGATAAAGTAATGGTTTGATTATGCAAAAACAACGAGATTGAAAATAAAATTAGAGGGAAATTAGGGTTACTTGTTTCGACGGCGGTTGGGGGATTGAGTCGGTGAGTTCGGAGGAGATTTGAGGGCTGGAAGAACAGAAGGGGATTATGCTAGCTTTATTAGGGCAAACGGAGAGTGAGTGGAGAGACGGCTGCGCCGTCTGAACCGTCTGGGAGGGGAGCAAGTTCGAGAGGCCGGACCGCCCCCATGAGAAAGAAACCGCCGTGAAAGGAAGCCGCCGCGATAGCATTTGTTCCGGTAACTAAACCCCTCGCGCTTGCTTCTGGGTGGAGGGAAAACACAGCTGAAGTTAACCGTTTTGGATATTTTAGAACACGTAATGTTATAGAGATTAAATTTTATAAACTAACGTAAAAGTTAATGATTGTATTATTACTTTGTGTTTGATTTAACATACTTATTTCTTATTAGTGAAACATGACACACTCCGATCCAGAATGTCTATCTGGACTTTGAATCGATCTTTCCTGATCGACGCCGGAAGATGACAAAGCCATAAAAGTGTGGTGATGTGAAAAATATGAATAAATTTAAATCTAAACCTTTATTTTTGCCCACTCACACTTTCTGTTTTTCGCCCTTCTAGGATTTAGCTGAATCTTTTGTGGCGAATGAGCGATCACTGGCGATTATGAGATTCACCCAAGTAAACGTAGGAGTTTGTTTCTTGTTGTGTAATAATTACCTTATCTAGGTTTGATTGTTCTACTTATGTTGTACTGTCATCTATACTCGGATTATTTGTGTAATATGGGTTATTCCCACTACTGCACACTCTCTTTATTAGCTTAAATAACGATTTAAATTATTCATATTTTTCCACTTCACCTACACTTTTCGCTACGTCACTTTCGAAATTTTCCACTTCAACACATGATTTAATTCGTAAATTTAATCTACTTTTTAGAACCGATAAGTTGACAAAGAAGCTACTTCGAGAAACGCATAGGGATAGGGGTGAAGACGTTCGTTATTAGTTGATAAACTATCCTTTCCGTTGAAATTTCTTGTTCTAATTGATAGAGCAACTGAGTAGCAAGTCGAAAACGTGCAAGGCTATCTAAGTGGCAAGGAACTTGTAGCTCATTTGTTGATCAATAGGGGTGCAATATCCCCACCCCCGATATCAGTTGTATCCAAAAATAGTTACATCGGTGCAATTAGAGGGGGCAAATCAATCCATTAGGCTTTTAATGAGTACTCATTGAGATCTATTTAGTTTGATCTCACCTTACACTATCATCACCATTACCAATCTCACATCTATAATGATATAAAATTAAACGAGTCTTTAACGAGTGTCCATTAATAACCGTTATTAGTTGATTTACCACCACTAGATGCAATTGCCCCCACCCCGCTATCAGTTGTATGAAAAAACAGTTTAACTCGAGACTATTTTCAGAATAGCCAAAAGCGCTTCTAACCGAAACGACACAAGTCTCGTCGATCAACCAACGAGCTTACTGTTTGTAAAAGCAAGGATGCAGACATGATATCTGACCGTATTCACAGTTGTTGCAGCTACGCAACCTGATTCGCATCCCACCTCACTCGACTCGACACATGCATTCCAACTTCCAAGCAATGGCAACCAAATATGTTGCGGGGTGTGGGGGCATGTCCGTTAACATTGATTAAATAGTTGATTCCAAATCAATCTTTATACATAATTAATATTCGTTAGGTCATTACATTAAACCTTGTCATCATGGAACCACCATGTCGTCTCCTTGGGAGATCTGCCGTTCCTGCAGTTCTTCACGTATCGATCGTTATCCGCTGGGCGTTGCTGCACAAATGGTAAATTGCACAAATGAGGGTCGTGTTATAACGAAGTCACGTAGGGTGAAGTGGAATAATCTAAAGCTAAAAATTGAACCATACCTTCACCGTGGAACTCGATAACATGGAGAGAATGCTGATACAGATGGAACTAACCGTCATGGCTGGGGACCATGAATCATATAGAATATCTGCAAATGAAAACAACCGTTAACTGGAAAATCAATTAGCTGTTGCTCATTATCAGGTACATGACAGCTATCTACTACATTGCAGAAGCGAGAATATGTAAACAAAAAAGGTCGTACCCAGTGCACAAGGCTCCCGCTTTACGCAGGGTCTGGGAGAGGTGAATGTCGGCTAGCCTTACCCCCATTTATGGAGAGGCTGCTCCCAAAGCGAGAATATGTAAACGACAACAATAAATTAAACATAACGTGATCAAACAGCTCGGGCTACCTTAGGCACACAATCCATAGGGAATCAAACAATCCATAGGGAATCAAGGATAACAAAAAGGAGATGATAGTTTCCCCTTTTTTGTTATCTTATCATTTCTGGCAACAAAGAAAAAGATATCTTGTGCTTGAAAGACGAAAGTTTGCAACTTTAAAAAGCTCAAAAGAGCAATAACAAGTATAGATGCAAACGCAAGGGATACCGAATGACTCCCAGCACCTAGAAGATTCTATCCAATGACCAAAGCCTCACAAAACTGTGAGCTTGGGTGTAACTCATGCAGCCATGCCTCTGGAACTTAAATTTGATCTTCAACTAAGAGCTATTGTCAAAGTTTCTTAGGTATCCCTGGTCCTTTCTTTTTAAATTCACTATATGGCTATAATACTCGATGTGATTTAATAATAAAAGCTATCTGCCTGATTTTCAGAGTTCACAACTAAACCTGATCGTATGCTGGGCACCACACTAATTTCTAGTTTATTTTCTTGTCAATCTTCATATCAAGCCAATTCAGATTATCACAAAATCCAACTAGGCATGTCATGCGATCATGCGTACTCGCGACAGTAAGCACCGGAGGGTTGTACTTGCTTGACATGAGACATTAGATTTCTACCACAGAACGATAAAATGAAACATTCTAAATTGCTAGTGCTAAGATCTAAACATTAGGTAACGTTTTCCTCAAGCTTAGTTGCAAACAGAAGGATATTCTCCAAGGCAAGGTCAAACTCGAATGGTCGGCAAATTCAATAGAATCCATTTAAACTTATTACAAGGTTGCCTAACTTGCAAGCAAATATTGCGATGTAACAGTTGATCAACTTAACAACTAGTCATCATTTTGATAGAATGAAACTAACGATCGCATAAGGTCAAAGCAATGACTCGAATAATATAATAGCCATCTAATTTTTGATCTTCCATATCAAGAAAGCAGGAATTCACACCAAGACATTAGTTCCATACTAACCCAATTACTGAAAACTAAAGATCGCGGAAAATACTAATACAAAGTTAAAAGACGAGATCGGTACCTAAACAGATATGGCCATTGCTGTAAATGTGAGGATGCAGAGGAGCCGGAGGGACAAAAATCACCTGAATACATCAGTAATTTAAGCGAAAACTTCAAATATTAATCGAGCATTATCGGCTACTAAATTACTTATCGTTCTGTTTTCGTCAAGTTTTCGAAACCCTAACAACTACAACTCTAGAACCAAACAGTAGGTATGCTTACTTAAATGGTTTGAACCCAATAATCAATTCTTCAGTTTCGAAACAAATTTCTCGGCAACCAAACAGAATCAAGAGAAAACCAAAAGTTAAATTCAGAATCTTATGGACCTGTGGTGCTTCCATGGGATAATGCTCGGGGAAATCGACTTGGAGCTGATAAATTTCGTTAGCGTATAGAGTTCCCGGCGCTCCGGTGACTTCGATGACCCATCTTCACACCAAAATTCAAAGAAATTAACATTTATCACAAAATTAATCGCAAACAAAAGAGACATTAACACTAAATTAAATATAAAGAAATTGGAATGGAACCTCTGAAGATTATCGGTGACTTTGTGCTTGAAACCTGCCGGAGGATTCACCTGCCACTCCACCAGCTCTTTCTGCAGCCGATTGCAGGCGATCTTGCTTAAGGCCTACGCACCCAAAAAATTCCATTAAAAACGATAAAAAAAAAAAAAGTACAAACAATTTAAAATTGTATATACAGAGAGAAGTAAACCTTGCGTGAAGTGGCGGAGGAGCTCGTCATCGCTTCCTAAGCAAGTGAGAGAGAAAGAGGCGGACGGCAGCGACGGCGGATTCGAGTGCTCCTTCCTACCCTCCTTCCTCGGCTATCTTTTACTCTCAATTTTCTCTGAAAATTCCAGAAATTATTTTAATTTTCTAGACAATAAAAAATATACATTTTAGCAAAAAGGTATCCACGCGCGTGATAGTAGTCGGCAATCTCATCAGAAATATCTCCGGGGGACCCACTGCTGCACTAGAAGCTTTTGGAGGTTTCCGGTTTTGCCACGTTGATAATATTTGATCACGGAATCCGCGTGTCGTTCGCTCCTTTTTTTTTAGTATTGGTGCAGGTCGTTGCCGTCGTTTTTTATTTTTAATTTCCACAAGCAAAAAATTATTCTCCCACCAAAAAAATAATAATGTCAATTTAGAAAAAAGTCACACCAAATTGAACACGGGGGTCGTCTAATTAATCTTATAAATTTATAATTAGTAGTTTAATTAGTTTTGTTATAAAATGTAAAAGTTATAGAGAGATAACCTTTATTCGGGACAGGAACGAAGCAGTTGCAGAGTATTATACCAACACAAGCTATTGCAGAGGAAGTAATGTATATTATTACTATTAGATATTTTTCTCTTCCTTTTCTCTCTGCTTTGTTGAACATTCGTAAAGCTCTATTTATAGAGCATCACCATGGAAACAAACAAAAACACTGTTAAACATATGACATGTTCACTGTATGCATGTGGGCATACATATTATACTATTTACAACACTCTCCCTTGGATGCCCACATATCAACATCAGTTGCCTCATTAAAACCTTGCTTGGAAAAACCCTGTGGGAAAAAAAACATAGCGAAGGAAAAAGAGTACAACTTTATCCGGATGGTGTTGAGCATTTATGTTGCCTCGTTAAAACCTTGATAGGAAAAACCCAGTGGGAAAAATCCTAAGCGAAGGAAAAAGAGTACAACATGCATGTATCATGGATGCTCCCCCTGAATTGGATCTCCCCCTGATTCTGCATTCTTCAAATTTGTAAGCCGACGTAATCCGATTCCCTGCACCAGCTTCTGAAATATGCACTTTGATAAATCATTCCTTCATCTGGGCGACACAGGCTGCATTATCTTCATGGATGACAGTTGGAGTGTCTGTCTTTGAAGGTAGACCACATGAATTCCGGATGTGATGGATCATTGATCTTAACCAAGAACATTCACGACTTGCTTCATGTAGAGCAATTATTTCCGAATGATTGGAAGATGTTGCAACTAGCGTTTGCTTCGTTGATCGCCATGAAATTGCAGTATCTCCATTAGTGAACACATATCCATTTTGTGAGCGGGCTTTATGCGGATCGGAGAGAAAACCAGCATCTGCGTATCCAACAAGGATTTGTTCATTTGTGGGCTTGTCTGAGTAGAAGAGACCCATATATGTTGTCCCACGAAGGTATCGTAGAACATTTTTTACTCCCTTCCAATGACGAATTGTTGGAGCAGAGCTGTACCTGGCTAACAAGTTAACTGAAAAAGCTATATCTGGTCTAGTACATTGTGCTAAATACAATAAAGCACCTATTACGCTCAAATATGGTACTTCTGGACCAAGGACCAGTTCATCATCTTCCTTTGGACGGAATGGATCTTTCTTAATGTCTAAAGAACGAACGACCATTGGGGTGCTAAGTGGATAAGCCTTGTCCATGCCAAATCGCTTCAGTATTTTTTCAATGTAAGCTGATTGATGGACCAAAATTCCACTAACACATGCTCGATCTGCAGGCCTAGACAATATTTGGTTTTCCCAATGTCTTTCATTTCAAATTCGCTTTTCAGATATTCAGCAGTTTTATGGAGCTCTTCAGGAGTCCCAACTAAGTTCACATCATCAACATATACTGCCACTATAGCAAATCCAGAGTTGGATTTCTTAATGAACACACAAGGGCAGATGACATTGTTGATATATCCTTCTTTAATCAAATACTCACTGAGACGATTATACCACATTCGCCCAGATTGTTTCAGCCCATATAGTGATCGCCTTAATTTGATTGAGAACATACCTCATGGTTTGTTTGTTGCTTCAGGCAACTTAAGTCCTTCTGGGACTTTTATATATATGTCAGTATCTAATTCTCCATATAGATACGCGGTGATGACATCCATAAGTCGCATGTCAAGTTTTTCTGAAATCACCAAACTTATTAAGTAACGGAACGTAATTGTGTCAATTACAGGAGAGTATGTCTCCTCATAATCAATTCCAGGTCTTTGTGAAAAGCCTTGTGCAACGAGTCGTGCTTTGTATCTAGCAATCTCGTTTTTCTCATTGCGTTTCCTTGTAAATACCCATTTGTAACCTACGGGGTTTACATCAGTTGGGGTTTGGACTACTGGTCCAAGAACACTTCGCCTTTCCAAGGAATTTAATTCTGCCTGGATTGCATCTTTCCACTTAGGCCAATCTTGTCTCTGTTTGCATTCATCAACAGAGCGGGGCTCAATATCATCACTTAATATGATTTCAGTGGCTACTGCGAATGCAAACATATCGTCAATGATTATTTCATTCCGATCCCACAATTCATTAGTACATGCATAATTTATGAAGATTTCTTTGCTTTCATGTACTTCTGTCTCTTCAGGGCCATTTTCTTATTCTGGAAGTCCAGAGTCATGAATTGTGGATTTGTCATTTACTCTCTCTTTCTGAATGATTTCATTTGGATTCAGTTGTGCCCTCGTCTTTCTCTTCCGAGGGGTTGAATCTTTTGAACCTGGTGGTCTACCACGCTTCAGGCGTGCACCAGATGAATCATTCGCTGCCACTTTATTTTGTCCAACAGGGACATCAATTCTGGCAGGTGCATTTGCAGCTGGTATATGCGATTTTGTCACTTTCATAGTGTCATTAAATGCATCTGGCATTTGATTGGCAATGCTTTGAAGATGAACGATCATTTTCACTTCATTTTCACATTGAAGGGTTCGAGGATCAAAATGAGGCAAGGTGGGAACAACCCATGTCAGCTCTTTCCGTTATTCTGGAACGGTCTTTTCTCCCCCTAACGATGGGAAGACTGTCTCATCAAAATGACAATCAGCAAAACGAGCTGTAAACATATCACCTGTCAAGGGTTCCAAATATCTAATAATAGATGGTGAATCAAAACCCACATAAATTCTCAGTCTACGCTGAGGTCCCATTTTAGTGCGTTGCGGGGGTGCAATAGGCACATAAACAGCACAACCAAAAACTCGTAAATGTGAAATGTTTGGCTGATGTCCAAACACGAGTTGTATTGAGGAGTATTGGTGGTTGGCTATAGGTCTCAATCGAACTAATGATGCAGCATGTAGAATGACATGTCCCCATGCAAAAACTGGCAATTTGGTTTTCATAAGCATAGTGCGGGCTATTAACTGAAGCCGCTTGATCAATGCTTCTGCTAAACCATTTTGAGTATGGACATGAGGAACAGGGTGTTCAACATCAATGCCCAATGTCATGCAGTAATCATCAAAGGTTTGAGACGTAAATTCACCAGCGTTATCAAGTCGGATTGATTTAATGGGATAATCTGGGAATTGTGCTCGTAACTTAGTTATCTGAGCAAGAAGTCTCGCAAAAGCTACATTCCGAGTAGACAAGAGACAAACATGTGACCATCTGGTGGATGCATCAACCAAAACCATAAAATATCGAAATGGTCCACAAGATGGTTGAATAGGTCCACAGATATCCCCTTGAATTCTTTGTATAAATGATGGGGATTCAGCATCAACCTTTAGTTGTGATGGTCTAATTACCAACTTCTCTTGAGAACAAGCCTTGCAAGGGTTATCATTTGAGATAGCAATGTCTCTGCTCAATAATGGATGTCTATTAGAGTTGGTAATGATCATACGCATCATGGTGGATCCTGGATGACCCAGACGGTCATGCCAAAGCATGTAAACCTTTGAATCAATGAACTTCTGGTTCATGATAGTATGTGATTCAACTGTCCTTATGTATGTATAATATAATCCACTCGAAAAACCACGCAACTTCTCCAATATACGCTTCTGGGTATCATTGGAGGTAATGCATAGATACTCCACATTTTTTGCACTTTTCGTTTCAATGTGGTATCCATTTAGACGTATGTTTTTGAAACTCAACAAATTTCGAGTAGATCGAGTAGCATACAATGCATTTTGTATGGACAATATTGTTCCATTTGGTAACATAATCTGGGCTTTCCCTGAGCCTTCAATCACATCTGAAGGTCCTGATATTGTTGTTACCCCTATTTTTGTAAGCATTAAGCTTGAGAAATACTTTCGATCACGAAGTATTGTATGTGTGGTTGCACTGTCTGCCAAACAAATATCTCCGCTATTTCTCATGTTCTGAGAATAACCACAGTTTTTATCCATGCTTTCTGAGTAAATGGAATCACAGTTAACAAACAATTTATAACAGGAAATTTACATGCCATTTTTATTGAATTTGAAAAACTAGTTTTAGACAACAAGTTCAGCATAATAAAAGTACATCAAACATAAACGATTTAGTCGGACCGATATACTTCATTCCCCCTTTCCATAATGAAGTCTGAAACATCTAAGTGAGTTGCGTCAAATTGCCCTGATAAATCAAACACTGGATCAGGTATATCCATTGGTTTAGCCTGGTCGAGAAAATTGGTCTCGACACCCTTCTTCTTGAGGGAGGCTTGATACAACTCCACCAGATGTTTTGGGGTACGACAAGTTCGCACCCAATGCCCATTGCCACCACACCTATGGCAGGCTCCTTCAGAGTTCCTGGGAGCATTGGTTATGTTAGCTTTGCCTTTGTGACGATTCACATTTTTGAAGCTCGGGCCAGAATTATGCCTCTGAACCTGGTTGTGAAACTGACCACTATGGTTCTTGCCTTTCCTATTCCATCGACCTCGTTTGTGGCCACGTCCTTGTTTATGATAATTACCACCAGAGGATGTGGCGTTCACTTCGAGGGAAGTAGCATTTACTTATGGGAATGGTGCAGATCCAGTAGGTCGGGAATTATGGTTTTTCATCAGGAGCTCATTGTTCTGTTCAGCTACCAGGAGCACAGATATCAGCTGGTTGTATTCAGTGTAGCCTCGCGCTCTATACTGCTGCTGCATAAGCACGTTATTGGCATGAAATGTGCTGTAAGTCTTTTCCAGCAATATTTCATCAGTAATGGTATCCCCACAGAGCTTCATCTGAGAGGTAATCTTGAACAACGCAGAATTGTACTCCGCTACTGATTTGAAATCCTGAATTCTCAGGTGAGACCACTCATAGCGAGCTTTTGGAAGAATCATCGTTGTCTGGTGATTGTATCTGCTTCGCAAGGCCTCCCAGAGAGCTAACGGATCTTCAACCGTTAAGTACTCACTCTTTAGTGCCTCATCAAGATGGCGGCGAATAAAGATCATAGCCTTCGCCCAATTTTGAGAAGATGAGCTGCTTTCTTCCCTGATGGTATCTCCAAGATTCCCTGCTTCCAGATAGATCTTGGTATCAAGTACCCAAGTAAGGTAATTCTTCCCGGTAATGTCTAGGGCAGCATATTCAAGCTTAGCCAAGTTCGTCATTTTCTTTTCTGAAAGAAAATGAGATGTGTAAGAACTTGCAGTAATATGTATTCCTAGAGGAATGTGATGTTAGAACTTCTGGCTCTTACAAATTTTTCATTTTGATCTTCAGGCCAAAATGATAAGCACTCGAAACTTCTGGCTCGAGATTTTCAGGGTGAATGAGAAGGGCGATTATACCGCACCATTCTCATTGAAAGAATGTAACATGGAATGGGCGATTAGTCCGCACCACTCAAGTAGCAAGAAAATTGAAATACGCAGAGCAGGGTGGGCGATTATACCGCACCACCTAAAATTGCAATGAAATTAAACAACAGGTAAATTTAAATTTGGAAAGCAAGGAGGGCGATTATACCGCACCACCTAAAATTGCAATGAAATTAAATAACAGGTAAATTTAAATTTGGAGAGCAAGGAGGGCGATTATACCGCACCACCTAAAATTGCAATGAAATTAAATAACAGGTAAATTTAAATTTGGAGAGCAAGGAGGGCGATTATACCGCTCCACCTGAAATTTGCAGTAAAAGTAGATCTGCAGTCCAAGATAGGCGATGATACCGCACCATCTTGGATCGCAGTAAGATGAAATTTGCAGTTCAAGATGGGCGATTGTACCGCACCATCTTGGATTGCTGTAAAATCAATATAAATACTATGTTAGTAATCAATATCCAAACCAAACAAGTAATCAAAGATGTATGTAACCGCTAGTTGGAGAACTACGAGCAGGCATGGAGCAAATAGTTCGTCGCGAGGATATACCGCGCAGTTGAGGCAGATGAAGAAGATGAACAGGAAAAACCTTAGAGGAAACATTTTTTTTTTTTCGTTCGGCGGAGAGAAATGAGATAATGATTTCCTTTATTGTTTAGTGAATGTAAATGAGACATGGTTATACTTAGAGACTCGTGCTGATAACGTGTTATAAAATGTAAAAGTTATAGAGAGATAACCTTTATTCGGGACAGGAACGAAGCAGTTGCAGAGTATTATACTAACACAAGCTATTGCAGAGGAAGTAATGTATATTATTACTATTAGATATTTTTCTCTTCCTTTTCTCTCTGCTTTGTTGAACATTCGTAAAGCTCTATTTATAGAGCATCACCATGGAAACAAACAAAAACACTGTTAAACATATGACATGTTCACTGTATGCATGTGGGCATACATATTATACTATTTACAACAAGTTTGTTGTTTTAACAAATATTATGACTCGTTTTGCAACGTTGGGATCTTAACAATTGAGTCATTATTTAAACCAGAAGATTCCCGTCAGATTCTTTTTGTGAGGATTTTAGGGATCCTCTAATCACATTGGTTCATCGTGTGGTCAGAAATCATTGTAAATTTTTTTATTTAAATTTGAATATAAACAGTACCTGACAAAAACTGACCGCACGATGTACGATGAAAAGATGTGATTGGATGATCATCGGAATCCTCACAAAAATGATCCGATGAGGATCCTCTCTCTTATCTAAATTATATAATTAGGTAGATTTGGTGGAGTAATATAGTTGGATTATATATCTGGTGCAAACTGTGTGGTAATTGAGGAAATTGGCAATTTAAATGGTTTTAACACAAACCTGTGAATTTGTGATTTTTTTTATTTTCGATTGTAATTGAGTAATAGAATGATGTTATTGTTGTATACATTACACGCCAAGTTTTTATTGGTGTGTCATATTGGCAAATCTATAAATTATACATCATGGGATTCTAGTGTCAAGGTCAAAAAAAAAAAATTTAATAGAAATATTGAATTTCAACCAAGTTATGTTAGCAATGCATTTCGTTAAGTATGTCGAGCCATGCAATATATGTCGAGCAATGATAGGTCTCATACCAAACCGCTATGTGCTCTCCAAAAACCCTTTTAAGACGATTTTTTTTTTTGCTTTATGTATGTTTTCAGAACCAATTGTTGTCTAATTAAATCCGTTATTGGTTGGTGATCATATATCTTTCCTAGAGTTGAATTTATTCAAACTTTTTTATTAAAGTTTATTTAAATCTTAGAAGGCATTTATAAACGACTTAATTGCTCAACTCAATTCAAATTGATTTCTCATCTCTTAAATATAAGGCCCAAAATTTCTTTAAAAAAAGAAGAAGAAAAAGGTCCCAAAATTTTGTTAATTATGGCATTTGTTAAATGATGATGGATCTTCATACCAAAAAAGGAAAGTTATTGACGGATATTAACATCTAATTTAAGCTTTTTCAGGTTTACAAAAATCATAAATAGTTACCAAAACAAGTAAGAGCTAAAAGTGTAATTTCATACGCGCGAATGGCGGGACCACAATTCAGAGTTAACGGACCGTAATGCCGTCGTTACTCGTTAGCGTATTCCAAAACGCACCGTGTGGCCCTCCGACAAGACAACCAAGCTACTGACTACGAGGCTACAGGGGTTCGAGTAAACTACACACGTGAGTTGGCCACTTCCACGTTTTCCACCTACAACCTTTTATTTTCCGAATTTAAAAACATGAATGCGGAAATATTGCATAATACCGCCCCTATATTTTCTATTTCATGCAAATCACATCAAGTTTGTTTGTACCATACTTAATCAATCCTAAAACTACTGAGCACCGGTCAACGGTATACCGCCAAGAATCCAGAAGAGTTTCCCTCAAACCAGGAGGCCAATCATAGCGCGACACGTGTCGACATTAGAAGCCAATCACAACACGACACGTGTCAATGTTAAAACAAAACTAGAAACTCTCTTCAATAAAAGGAGATCATTATCCCACAATATTTCCAAATGTCATTTCTACTAAATCATTCACTAGTACTCACTAAAGGAGAGCTTGAACCTATGTATTTGTGTAAACCCTTCACAATTAATGAGAACTCCTCTACTCCGTGGATGTAGCCAATCTGGGTGAACCACATACATCTTGTGTTTGCTTCCATGTCTCTATCCATTTACATACTTATTCATACTAGTGACCAGAGCAATCTAGCGAATGTCACAAACTTAACACTTTCAGTTGTACCAAAATTCTTATTAATTTTGTACATCAACAAACTCTAAAATATATTCACAATCAACCACTTGTACTTCATGCCCCTTGACAATTTGGCACCTTCCTCTGATGTTCATATTTTTATCAAATAATGATCATATCACGTTCAAGATGGCCCTTTTTCAAAAAACATCCACGACATTTATCATGCGTGTAAAGGTATGAGAATTATTAAGGCTATCTTCAAGGAGTTCACAAACTCAAAAAGTTAAAATCTTGTCCCTACACTTTCTCTAATACATGAATTTTAGGGGGCTAAAAAGTTTGATTTTAATGTTAGGTAGGGGTAAGTGTTGAGTCAGGGACAGATTGATACGTGAAGAGTGTGAAGCAAACCTCCCACATGTCAAAAAAAGACGTAAACGTAAAAAGTCACATTGGTTGGAGTTGAAAGATAAAAAAGGGCCACAACCAAGCCTTGAGTTGGATCATTACATCATCGACTCACTACTCACATTGAAATTGTTTGTTACTTGCATTTAACCACCTGTATGCACAACATGTGTGATGTTTTATTATTAAAAAAAAACATCTTTGTACAGTTACTAGTGTAACCATCTCATTGTTAACTCACGCGTTATGAGTTTGAAACTTCACCTCCCTAAATTTATGTAACAGTTTCAAACTCTTCTCATTCTCGTAATGATATTTAAATCTCAATTATGTATTTGTTTCGTCAAGTTTCCGACATCGGCTACACTACGATTGTCACACAACCTAAGTTTAGGTGATTAATGTAAAATAAAAATATATATACTCAGGTGAAAATTTCACCCAAAAAAAAAAAGAAGAAAAAGTCCTATACTTGCAATTTACCAAACGGTGGTTACCAGTTAGGCATTAGCGTAACGACGTTTGATTGAACCCTCTTAAGCAAACCACCACCACCCGCCACCCCTCACCCGTCACCACCACCCACATTCCACTCCCCAACTCTCTCTCTCTCTCTCTCTCTCTCTCTCTCTCTACTCTGTCTTCTTCAAGAACTTTCTTCCTCTGTTTTTTTTTTCTTGTGCTACCGTATACATATGGCCAAAACCAACATTTCCATTTAAAATAACAATGCTGTTACAAATTTGTTAAATTTCACATTTACAAATTATGTGTTGTGTCATGAAAAAACACCTTGATTATTAATTTAATCAACGAGAACACTTGCGAACGCTCTCTTTCTCTCTCTCTCTCTCTCTCTCTCTCTCTCTCTCTCTCTAGTTCAAGAAGGAATGTAGTAGCGGTTAAAATTAATGGTTTTTCTGTCGTAATATAAAAAAAACAGAGTATTTGAATTCTTAAATTCGTTCGAGTTGGTGTTGATATTTAATTGGGCATTAATAAAATATATTTAAACTGGGTCGAAGTAGGTGCCGTTGTTCCAATCATAAGGAGGTTGTTCTTGTTCGGGAATTCTCATTTTTCTCTCTCGGGATTCGTGTCTGTCTCCGATTCTGGAGAGCGGAAGAAGATAGCTACAGTTTTCTTTTTCTTCTTCTTCTTCTTCTTTTTCTTCCGCTCCTTCAGCTCCAATCCTTCAAAGTTTCTCCATTTTTTTTTCGTTCAGGTAATTTCGATTTTTCACTTCCCCTGCTGCTTCAGTTCTTACCCTTTTCTTTGTTTTCCATTTTTGATTAATTATGCTGATTATGTTAGTATTTTGGTTATGAAATCAGTATTAATATTGGATTATTAGCACTAATCTCCACTGGTTTAGTTCACCTTGGATTATTTGAAATTTGGGTTAGTAGATTTTTCTTGTCTTCTAGTTTGATAACTCTGTCTGCATATCTTCTGAATTGGGTTTTTGCTTTTGGTAATTTTGCTGGGTTTTTACGTTTGGTAAATTTGATGATTTTTTTTTTTTTGGTAGGATTCAGTAATTTGATTAAATGGGTATCGCCAATTCGATTGGTTATCATTTAATTTGTGAGAAATATCGGTAATTTGGATTGGATCCCCGAATTTTACTCAAAGATTTGGAGACAGAGGAAGAAGATACTAGGCTATTGAGCTATGGCTACCTATTTCCAGAATTTGGGTAACCAGAACTTACTGAACCCTTATCAAGGGGACCCCGAACCGCCCGGAAACATGATGATGTATCTGAATCAGGCTTCCTATGCCGCCGGATCCTACTCCGAGGTCTTGTCTGGCGGCAATTTGCCCCCTCAGAAGTATGCTGACTCTGAGGGGGTTAGGAATGAAATGATGTTTATTCCGCCAACGAGTGATCAAGTCAGGGATTGTGACATTGGCGGCAATTCCTTGATTGGGAAACATGGTATTCAGGATCATGGATTGTCTCTCAGCCTTTCCACCCAAATTCCGCAAACGGTATCTCTGCCGTCGTTTCAGTACCAGTATCCGAATACAAGTCTCTCTTCGGTTTTGAGCAATGCTCCGGTGCTAGGGAAGGGCGACGAGTATAATCAAAGCGAGGAGTTTAGAAACTTCGAAAGTTTGGCATCGGGGTTATATGGAGGTGGCCATGAGGCTGTCAAGACACAGGCTTTCTACAATCCTTTGTGTTCATCTGAATCCAAAGAAATGCGCTCTGAAGCATACTTGTATGAATCATTAGGTTCAGCAAACACTATGTTAAGCTCCAAGTACCTCAAGGCAGCACAACAGTTGCTTGATGAAGTGGTAAATGTCCGAAAGGCTCTGAAGCAGTCTCGATTGAACAAGAACCAGAGCTTTAAGCGGAGTGGATTAGGCGGTTCCAAAGAGACTGATGGGAGTGATCAACATTTACGGAGATCATCAGATCCTAGCGAATCAAGCGCTGTCTCTTCTATCGAGTTATCACCATCAGAACGGCAGGATATGCAGAACAAGAAGACTAAACTTTTGTCCATGTTGAATGAGGTAAATAACCACAATTCGTAAGAATTTTTTGTTTCATATTGGGTCTTTAAATCCTGTTTATGTTACTGATTTTGCAAGGTCATTAATTGATATGCCGTATTGCAGGTAGATCAAAGATACAAACAATATTACCATCAAATGCAAGCCGTGGTGTCATATTTTGACAAGGTGGCTGGGAACGGGGCTGCTGGACCATACACTGCCCTTGCTCTCCATGCAATTTCATGTCACTTTCGCAGTTTGCGTGATGCAATCAAGGGCCAAATTCAAGTGACGCGGAAAAGGTTGGGAGAGCAAGATAATTCATCTGATGGTCAAGGATCAGTAATACCCCGCCTCCGCTATGTGGACCAACAGCTCAGACAGCAGAGGGCATTTCAGCAGCTTGGTGGATTGCAGCATGCTTGGAGGCCTCAGAGAGGACTCCCGGAAAGCTCTGTTACAATCCTTCGTGCTTGGCTGTTTGAACATTTCCTTCTTCCGTATGTACTTGAGCACCTTTTTCGCCGTAATTGAAAATGATACATGCCAATCTCTTAAGAACTTTGGTCACTGATTCTTTTGTGGTTTTTGGTGTCCCTCCAGTTACCCGAAGGATTCAGAAAAGATTATGCTTGCAAGGCAGACTGGATTAACCAGAAACCAGGTAAGATGACTTCTAGCTTTCTTCCTATGGGATCACCATTTATTCTTTCCGTTATGGTTTCTTAAACGTGCATGGTTTTGAATTGGGATTCAAATATCAGTCGGTTGAAAATGTGAACTTTAATCCTTGCTCTTTCCTTTTCAATGCCATCAAAATGTTGGACTCAATGTTGTAATTTCTTCGTATCACTTGAATATCGCAGCTTACCTTGAAATATTTCATCACACCCTTGTTTTGTTTGCGTAGTGTCATAACTAACATTGTACGTTATCAGGTTGCCAACTGGTTTATCAATGCAAGGGTACGCCTTTGGAAACCCATGATTGAGGATATATACAAAGAAGAATTCGGTGATCTGGACATGGATTCGAAATCTTCACCTGAAAATGCACTCAAGGAAGAAGCAAGAGTTGATTTCTCAGCATCTGAGGACAGGAAAGAGGAGTTGCACGAAAGCCTGATATCCGCAACTGCTGATAGTATTGAACCAGGGAAATTGCATGACTCGAAGTCGGGTCACCATTCCACATGTGACATGCCAAGGTTGGATCATTTCACAGTTGGCAGCGATGTGTCACTTGCGTTGGAGTTACGGCATTGCGAAGAACACGATGGATTTCCTCCGTCTACCGGATCCCATGTAAGAGTTAACGATGCGGTAACTTCTTTGGATTGTCACTATGAGGATCCGGAGCAGCAACATTTAATACAGGTTTGGCAATTCCCACCCGTTACTTGATTTTGTAGTCCGAGAGGATTATCGCCTCCAAATATTGGGCGGTAAGCGGCCTCAGGCAATGATCATCGAGAAACAGAATGCTTGTTTTGCTGCTCTGCAAGCGGGTGTAGATGTAGATGTGTGGATGACACTGGTACCAACGTGTAATATAACAGAGCTTGGTGGAAGAAGAAGAAGCCTTGGGCATATTTGTAAACTAGTTTTGTAAAGATAAAAGGTGAAGGAATACCTTGTGCATTCATTGAATTAAGGAACTTGGAAACTGTATGTGTGACATCAAAATGTATAATCTCATTTGGAAATAAGTCTGATACAAGAATTGCCTGATTTTTGTTTACAAATTTGGTTTGCATCATTTGGAAATTTACATGAAATCGAGTGTATTACCCAAAGTATTTGTCTCTATTCTCGCGTGACTTATCGGGAGAAAGATGTACCTTTTTATGAAATGAAAATATGGTGTACCGAGCATTGAATCACGTGTCTGTGCAACTACAAATCAAAATTGCAACTCTTTGTAGTTTTATATCACCCATGTTTATCCCCAAGAGGAATGTTGCACATGTTCGGTTGTACACAAGAATGTCTTCTTAACGAGGGCCGTGAAATCCGTTGTGTATTCTTAGTATCTGTCTCTCTCAATACATAATAAATCAAAAGAGAGTAAGATATAAGAAGATTTATGCAATTACATGCCAGTCTCCTTCTTTTACAAAATTTTGTAAAATCGAGTGTCTTTAATTTTTGTGTCTTTTGTTAATCTATGTCAAGAGAGAAACAAATACAACGAGATATACACACGATTGCATGTTAGTCTGTCTCATGGGACTATGCAGAAGCATACATATCCAAGCATCGATTTTTCTGATGGATTTGGAGGAGATCGGATTGGAGGGTGGATATCCCAAAGAAATATGATCACGGGAACAATTTTTTCTGGCGGAAGACTGTTGGCATTTGAAATTTACTGGGAGGGAAAGGGAGGGGTGTACAGGTTTTGCAGATAGGGCAGAGACACCTTTAATCTATAGGGTGGTGGGCCCGAGAGTTTACGGGGAGGGGGGGTCCTATTACTTTTATAAAGAACAAAGTTGGAAAGAATTAAGAGAGTGACAAGTGGAGGAGGCCAAAGGAACAAATATGGCAATCATTACTAAAGCATCCGATCAGACCCCCAAAAATAGTAACGCACACTCAGAAAAACTAGAATTAGTCTCAGCAGCACACCAAACCCTACCTCACCCTCAATTAATAATGCCTTAACTCACGCCCCTCCCCCCCTCCTCTTTCTCGCTCTAAAAAAAAACCTTGTGTAGCACATGCATTCATGTTAACTTATCTGTATTTTAGTTTCATTTGATTCCATGTCGATTAGATTAGATAAGAAAGTTATTTTTACTAGTCAGTTTTACGTAAGCTTTACTAATCTCTCTATAGGAGCATTCAAATCACTTCATATGAAGATAATCTATCAAAAACGATGAGAGTCGATGCATTTTGACTCCTCTCACCACAAGTTTATTATTATGTTCAATAAGAGTTCTGTTTTAGTTAGTCAATTCTATATAAGTTTTGCTCTTCTTAACACAATGAGAAACTTATTTACAACAAAAATCCTACTAACTCGAATAAGACTTTGTAATTAGCTTTGTTATGGCTGCAATGACATCTAGAATTCCGCTTAGTATAAGCAAAAGAACCCATCTTTATTATTCATTGATTTGAAAGATTGTGAAATCAGTGTCATTTCAACATCTCTCCCTCTATGAAATGTGTATTGTGTATGAAGCATGAATACGACGCTTAACAGGAAAAAGTAGATATTCCATGTGTTTAGAGGCTCAGAAGCTGACAATCCTAGAACTGGGAGTGTGCAAAAGACACCCCACTTTTTCTCTCCTCCTCTCCTCTCCTTCCTTTTATTACAGTCCTCCACAGCAAACCCATCCCAGCAGCACTGTATATGAACGGAACAATTTAACATGCTAAGCTAGCTGAGAGCAGCTCTTGTCCTTCTGACTTTCACAACAAGGGAGAGAAAGTGAGGAGAGAGAAAAAGACACAGCATACACTGTTTAGAGAGAGAAATGAAGGAGAGTAGATTTGAGGCTCCCAAGGAAATGTGAGTGCAGACACTAAAGCTAGAGGCTTTGATGCTTTTTGGTAGTTGGTTTTTTGTAAGTCAGGGAAATTGGGACCATCGTCTTTTCTCTTGTCATTTTCTCTGTTTTTACTTGCCCAATTAACCTGCCTTCTTTAAGGATCTAGCACACGTCTATGTTTCTAGCTTTCTGCTGCTGCTGCTGCTGCTTCTGCTTATATTTTGATTAGGCCTGTTCTCTCTTGACACACACACACAGACACGCAGAGGAGAGAGAGAGAGAGAGAGAGAGAGAGAGAGAGAGAGAGAGAGAGAGAGAGAGAGAGAGAGAGAGAGAGTCATTTCTTCATTAAAGTTATGCCTTGAAACCCAAATCACAGATTGGTTCTTGCTATTTGTTTTGCTTTCTGTCTCTCTTCTGTGTTGATCATGAATTAAATTTTCAAAGGGTCATAATTTCTCTGCTCTCACAGCTCAATTTCTCAGATTTACATTCACCAAATTGGAGTTTTCTTCCTTTTGTCAAAAGTGCTTTTCTTTTAAGCCTTTTTATAACAACAAATTCACCAAAGATTTTGAGATGGCCTTCTACCTTATGAGCCAAGTACTATTTATTTCTGGGCTGATCAATCTATACTTGCATTGCTTTCTTCCTTGACAAGCACATCTCTCTCTCTCTCTCTCCCCCCCTCTTTTTTGATCATGAATTAAAACTTTCAATTGGGTTTTCTCCCCTTTGAAAGTTTTGAGCTTTCAACTTCTGGTTTGCAATGGTGTCACAAGACTCACCTCCAAATCCCTCCTCAAGCATTTTCCACCAGTTCATAATCTCAGACTCCATTTCTGCTCACAACCATCATCTCGAAAGCCAGCACCTTGACGCTTATCCGCCTTCATTTCAAACTAGCACCACATTTCCACAAGCTCTCGGAGTTCTCCCCAGCATTCACTCCCTTGGCGAAAGAATGTCCCAATCAGTAGGACTTGTTCAAGCTCCTACCGGCGCAGCAATGGAGAACCAAGCGCAGCGGCTTTCGCTCTCCCTCGGTTCCCATATGCTTGTTCCTTCAGGCCAGTACCGGCACCACAACTTCGACACTGGGGAGGAATCCGGGGAGGCTTGCAACCGGGGAGTTGAGCACGTAGGCGACGAGTACTGCTTCATGGGAGGCATGCTTGCTTTGCATTCAAGTGCGCTGAATCGATCTTGCTCCACTTCTTATGGAGCAGAATCTCTAGCTGCTGTCATTGCGAATTCGAAATATCTTAAACCAGCTCAGTCCCTCTTGGAAGAGATTGTTAATGTTGGCGGACAATTGGTTGACATTAGCAATGAGAAACATGTGGGGAAATTGTATGGAGAAGGGCGGCGAGGCGGTATGGGGCTCTCCTCTGAACTGAGAGCAGAGCTTTCTTGCAATGGTGGGCTCATGAATGCCGACAAACACGAAATGCAGGCTAGGCTTGCAAACCTTATCACATTGTTGGAACAGGTACAATCTTGATGCTTAGTTTAAGTTTTTGACAAGACGATATTCCAAACTAGTGTAATTTACGGGAATGGGGGTTTTGACCTTAGGTGTAAGAGGTCGGACACACTGCCTTACGGTTTAGGTTTTTGATCTCATGGATCATTTTTGCTCAGAGAATTAATTTGTTTGATGTTTTTAAGGTTGAGGACAGATGTGAGAAGTACTACCATCAAATGGAACAAGTGATGTCATCATTTGAGATGGTGGTAGGGGAAGGAGCAGCCAAGTCCTACACAGCTCTGGCTCTCAAGGCCATGTCCAGGCATTTTTGCAGCTTGAGAGATGGCATAGTTTCTCATATCTACGCCGAGAAGCGAAAGCTGCTGCAAGATGTTCCGAAAATCAGCAGCGGGTTATCACAACTGAACTTGTTTGACAGAGAGTGCAGGCACAAGAGAATGTCCCTTCAACAGCTCGGCATTTTTCAGAGCCAGCGCCAAGCTTTCAGACCGATTCGTGGATTGCCAGAGACCTCTGTTGCGATTCTTCGCAATTGGCTTTTCGAACACTTCCTCCACCCGTAAGCAATCCAAAAACTAATCAACCCTTCATTGGAATTAATCCGAATTAGTTGTAATTAACTTGGTTTTGATCGTGCAGTTACCCCAATGACAACGAAAAGCTGCTGTTGGCATCACAAACAGGGCTGTCCAAGAACCAAGTAGGTTCCAACAACTTGATTATGTCCTAATAAGCTTCATATGAAACTTTGGTCGGATTTTGTGATGATCAATGTTGTCTCTGTTTCAGGTCTCGAATTGGTTCATAAACGCGCGTGTCCGGCTGTGGAAACCTATGATTGAAGAGATGTACAATGAAGAGTTTGGGGAGTCTTCAGAGGACTCAAACTCTTTAGCCGGCGGTTCCCTGACCGGCGAAGGCAACACGGATCAGACAGGGAATTAATGGGGTAGAAATCTGATATGTTTGATGGTAAAAATTACCAGTTGAAGTTTAATGACTGAAGTTGAATGATTTTCAATTTCTCAAGTATATGCAACTGTTGATTTTGGTTTTGTCAGGGTAACTGGAAATCAGGTCTTATAATTTCTCTTTGTAATGGTGAAAGCAGAGATTTTGATATTCGAAAATTCACCTTTGATTCCGAAACTCATAGCGTCGAGAAATACAGAAACCCGGAAAGAAAATCCAGGCAAAACAAAACAATTCAATATCAATGCTAGTAAGAAATTTTCATATTCTGCTCGCACCTCCTCTCTCGGCTGTGGTTTGTCAAACTGAATCTTTGTATTGCGTGTTATTTGATCCGAGGCTTGAATTTCAGAAGTAATCCGTCTCCAAAATTGCATGTAAACAGAAGCTTCAGTTTTGAGGCCGATATCATGCTTTACATTGTAAATTGTTACGCAGAGCTGGAAGCCTGAACACCCTCGTCTCATCAGGGTCTAATCTTCGAAAAATAGGTCACCTGCATCAAGGTTGAACTTTAATCCAAAGAGTACAATATTTTTCGTGATATCTTTTATGTTTTGATACAAACCCAAAACATAACCAGCAGTAGACTATCGTATAAACTACTTCCCGCACTCCTCCTGGACCTGACCATCTGCAAAAGCAAACACGGCGACATAAAACAATTAGCTCAATTGAAAATACGCAGAATCCACTGAAAGCATAAATGAAAAAACAGATTTGAAGTCTCACCAGCAAGAGTGATTGCCAAGTTTGCTTGAGCATCTGCCTCAGAGTTTCTTTCCTTTGAAGGTATACATAAACATGTTAGAACTTCATAAGCCGCCTGCTGACGTGGTATTATTATACAAACCCACAAAAGTATCATGTATCACAAAAGGCAAATGGAGTCGTCTTGGCTCACCCTTAGGACATGGCTGATTTTGAAGGAGAGAAATTTATCCTTCAGTCTCTTCACCTCTTCGTAAAAGTCAGACAAGTTCTGGTTTTTCACCTTCCATAAACCCTGAACCTGTCCAGTTATCTTTCTCAGTTAACACAGAACAAGGAATAAAAGGAAAAGGAAAACCGCAAAACTGCTGAAGTATCAAACAACCAGAGATAACGTAAACCACCTTAAGCAGGAGAAGTAATCACAATACTAACCAACCTGCATACACACGAGTTTGGAGTCGCCTTGGACAGTAATCCTTGTAAAACCTTTTTTAAGAGCACATTTTAACCCTAAAATAACAGCTCGGTACTCGGCAACATTATTGGTCACAACACCCAGACCTTCACGTATTTTACAGATCTACAGGAGGAAAAGCATGGTTAGAGTCTTCAGAAGACAAATAATTATAAGAAAAGATAATCCTCAAGGTAAAACGTATACCAACGTTCCATCATCTGCTCGCAGCACAGCTCCTGCACCAGCTATTCCAGGGTTTCCCTTTGATGCACCATCAAAATGAAGAATACAAGCACCCTACCGATTCAAAAAAGCATTATCACAATTAACACACAGAAATATAAGAAAAATGGTTAACTGAGAACTCCACAGTGGTCAAGGTTATTCATTAACTAGAAAGTAAATAAATTCAGCCCTCGTCTTCTGCCATATTGCTGCATCTGCTTCATAATGTGAAATAATGAAAATAAAGACAAGGGCAACTTACACGGTCCAAAGGGGGTAATTCAGCCACAGCAGACTCATCTATCTTGGCAAGCTTTCCAGACGGATCATCTGATATGGAAGTTGAGCCATATTCTTCCTACAAAGCATTGAACAAAGGTGTAAACTAAAAACAGGCAAAACAAAGTTCATCTAAAACAGAACCTCCGGGGCAAAGACTATAATCAACCTACAACAGTTCGCTTAACAATTGAATAGGGATGGTAGTGTTGTAAACAATATATACATATATAATAGAGACACAACATATACATAGCAGAAAAATGTGCACGAAACTATTAAAATTCCTATCCTTATCACAGATATAAATAAACACGATAAATTTTAAGACGAAAACTTGCAAGATACAAAGAAACTCCAATAACAGAACCTCAAAGATAACCATAGTTCTTTATTGTTCAAAGATTGTTGTGATCCCAAAACTTACCACATTTTCTGTTCCAGACATTAGACGTCTCTTTTTCGATTCATCCATAACGGATGTTCCGCCTTCGGAAGAAGTTGGATCCTAAATTGTAACACAACATAAAATCATAATCCCGAAAGTGCACAACTGTACAACTAGAAAGAACAAGATACAAAATTTAACTAGACGAAAAAGCGAAAAGCTTTAAATCTTACTCCAAGTGGGCAAAGCACAAGCTTGCCAAAAAGATCATCTTTCAAATCTGCAGCTCTTATAGTGTAAAGGGCATTCCTAAGTCCACGGGATGCAAGATATTGTTGAGTGCTCTTAGGCATTGAGTCCCCTTTGTAAACACTAACAGGAGGATCACATATCTAATTAAATCCAAAAAACATCAAATTAACGCTCTTGATTATGTTTTAAACTCAATGCAATCACATTTAACGAATTAAGCAAAAAAAAAAAAGGGAAATTAAATTAAATTTTACCGAAGAACCCAGCTGAGCCTGACAATCACTGAAACTACGATAAACGCCGACGACATCTCCTTTCCGTACCACATAGAATCCCTCCTTTTCCGGTTCCATAACCGGTTCGGAATCGGCCTTCCTCCGCCGAGACCGGGACGGCGTCGTTTTACTTCCGCCGCTGCTTCGAGCCGACGAGTACGGCTGAATACGAAATGTCGTTACCGCTGATTCTATGCTGATCGGCTTAATCCCGGCGCAAAGGTCGAGTCTTTTCTTCCAGGAAGAAGGTCCGCAGAGAGAGCTCGTTCCGACGGCACGACCTGTCGTTCGGAAAATGGCCGCTGCGTAAGAGGAGACCTGCGACAAGCAGTTCATCACACGGCGTTGCACGACGGGGCCTCTGGAAGAAAACGGCGGAAATGCGGAGGTCTTCAGCCTCGCAGGGAGAGGAGAACGAGCGAAAGTGGTGCGGGCTTTTGGGTGGGTTTTCCGGCGGGCTAAACCCTTGCAGTACAATCTGAGGCAGGCCTGTGCACGACGTTACGACGTCGTCTCTGTTTGGAAAGGGAGATTAAAAACTTTTCAATTGGCCACATAAACTTTTGCTAGAATTACAGTTTACCACCCGAAAAGAAATTTCATCATAAACTTAACAGACCAAAAAAGTCCTTCAAATTGCAAAATCGAGAGAAATTTGGCAATTCGGAAAATATCCCAAAATTAGAAAGAACGACAAGTCGTCTATGCAATTTGCGGCCTAAAGGAAAGGAGGCGCGAGAGAACACTCTGCAAGCCAACGATAAACAGATACCCTTCGGAAGTGGAAAGCTGAAAGAGTCTCTCTCTCTCTCTCTCTCTCTCTCTCTCTCTCTCTCTCTCTGAGACCAAATTTCCGATCATGAGCGCATGCTCCTGCTGCTCTCTGATTCGCTCCTCCCCTCTCAGCCACGACCATCCCATTTCCGGCCCTCTTGCGAAACTCAGTCGTCCGATTTTCTCTCTCTCGCTCAGAAAACAATATTCCGATGCTGCTACTCCTAGATTCGTCGTCGTAAGAGCCGTCCAGCCTGGACTCGGCGTTGTGGAACCGGGAGACGTTTCGGTGCACGACCCGACGTCGATTGATGTTGTAGAGACCGGAAATGGAGAGGTTCTCGGAGTCGTTGGTGGAGTGGCGGACGCCAAATTGGAGGATCATAAACCCCTAGCTCCGGCGACTAGGGTTAGGAAGAAGAAGGAGGAGGAGAGCGGCGATGATAATCGGTTCAAGCTTAGGAACGGAAGGGAGGTCGGTCGGACTCCTTTTTGCTTTTTTACTGTTTTGTTTTGAGATTGTGTGTTGTTTCTCGAGAAAAAGATAGAAATTTTGATTTGGGAAGAGTTACATTATGGCGAAATTGAAAGGGAGTAGTTTGGGGGAAAATTATATATGATAAATTGGGATGAAATTCCTTGTTTTGATAGGTGTTGGGGAGGCTGAGCAATCTCTTTTGTGTTTGTTCATTGCCATTTTTTCTGCAGGTTTTCGAAGAAAAAGCTTACATTGTGGGTGTTGAGCACAAACGCGGTACAGCGGATTCGTTTGGTGTGGAGGAATCACTCAAGGAATTGACCCAGCTAGCTGATACTGCTGGACTTATGGTTGTTGGTTCCACATATCAAAAGTAGGTAGTTTTCGACGTGCTTCTTTGCTAGTATAGTTGATTTTTAACCTAGTTGCTACTTGCTAGTACATATGTTAAATTGTTTCTTCTTGGTCACCTGTGTTCAATCGCTAATGCCTATATGTAATGCAGACTTGTTTCTCCAAACTCGAGGACGTATATTGGGTCTGGCAAGGTTGCAGAAATCAAGAGTGCAATTAACGCATTGGGTGTGGAGACTGTGATATTCGATGATGAGCTATCAGCAGGGTATGAAACATAATGATATTATAGTTATTTCATGCATGTTTATGCTTCTATAGAGAATAGAAGCAAATGATACAATGCAAGCAAAAGTTCCTATATTAATGGAGATATAGAACAACATATAAGTTATCATGCTTGCATATCCACCATTTGAGTCTCCAACAATTATTCCAATATTACATATCCAATTTGACCTATGGACGAATACGCAAGCATAGGTTTCATGCTTGTTCGGGTAATAGCAATGAGATTCCCCAATATCATGCTATGGATAGCTAGGATTTCCTGACTTCTATGAGTTGGACAGTTTTATTTTTTCCAATACTTACTCCCTGTCTGCGGTATCTACCAATTTGCTATGCCTACCAGATGATTTGGACCAGAATTCAATTGTCTTCGCTTTAGCATTGATTTGAGAAATATGGAGATTCTTTTTTTTTTTTTTTTTTCTGCTTAATTCTCAGTAAAACCTTACAAATATGACTGTTTATCGTATGCATGTCTCCACACACTTTCAGCATTGTGTTATTCTGAAAAGCTTCAAAAACTCATTATTCTCGGTGAAGATACCTATTGATGCAATTTTTTAATGTTAGATTTTGGGTTTAGGCAATTTTTTTTTTTTAAATTTTATTCAAATGCTTATTTTAGGCAATTGCGCAACTTGGAAAAGGCTTTTGGTGGGGAGGTTAGAGTTTGCGACCGCACTGCCCTCATTCTGGATATTTTCAACCAGCGGGCTGCAACACATGAAGCAGCTTTGCAGGCAATTAGTCATTGTGCTTTTAGTTATTAGTAATAAT